GTGGAGGCCAAACATCTTTCCTTTATCTGTCCCAAAAGTCTGAATATTTCTGCCTGAAGAGAGAAATCTAGAAAACTCAGCGGTAAGGAGAAGCCACACAGATCCCTGCATACACAGTGGAACCCAAAGAAACTTGAGAGAAAGGAGAACTGAATTAGGAGTGGTCGGGGAGAGGAATGAGATCGGAGGAAAAAAGTGAAGTTGCAATGCAGCAAACTGGAGAAAAGCTTTTGGAACTTACAAGAAAGGGAAGCTGTCCCTGATGCCACTGCCCATTTTAGCAGTCTGTCATGAATTCCTCTTGCCCACAAAAAACTGTTACTAAGGATATAAGCTGCAAATCATCATGTACTAATCTTTTTATGAAGCCGATTTTGTTGTTGTTCTGTAGACCTATTGTTCTTTTACAATTATACTAATAGACTAAAAATAACAAGGGCAGTTCTATCAGACTTAAATTACAATTTTATTTCTTAAGAATGATTATTTTATACTGTGCTGATTGAGATCACAGAAATCCTTTTCTGACCACAGAGGTATAAGGTACTAAATTCATCCTTCATGTAACTGCACTGAGGTAAATGGAGTTACATAAGGAATTAATTTGACCCGTCTCCTCCATTTCCTTGGAAAAATTATTTGTTTTAGTGCTTGCCAAGTTTTAACTTTGACTCTCCCTTGCTTAACATCTTTTTGTACTTAGAGACAGTTTTTCTTTCTTTAAGACTATAAAGAGAAATACAGCAGAAGAAAGACAATTAAGGTGAAGATCTGCTTTTTAAATTGAAAATACACTTCTTATGGTAAGAAAATACCAAACCCTTTTTATTTTGGTATAGAAGTGCATGGGATTATTCTTACATCCACGAGGATATGAAAGGAATAAAATAGTATGTACAGCCAAGAGAGGAAAAGGATTTAAATGATGTTTTTCTGCCTCAGACCCTGCGTGCTTCTTTCTAACTGCACTAGTTGGAATAAATAGGGACCTTTCTTGGTTAGAGACAGTAAGAATTTAAAATATTACACATCACCTTTTAACAAAGAATCACCTCCCCTTTGCACCTGGAGTCAACAGGAGCTATATATTCAAAAATAACCTACAAGAGAAGCTGAAGGCATACTCTCACCAGTATACAACTGCAATTTCATGATACAATAAATTTAGTTTTTGGATGGCGACATGGCACAAAATTCTTTGTACAAATTCAACCCACCAGTACAAAGTTATTTAAAAACCAAAACCCTCACAAAACAAGGAATGGAGAGTGGTTTTACTCCTGATGATTTTATGTTAGAGTTGGTATCATTTCTCTTCCTGCTGCCGGTATAAAGCCAGGAAAAAGCTTGGTCTAAATGCTGTAACTCATAGCTGGCTAATCTTGACAGGAATGCAATTACATGCTCATATTTGATCTTGATCAATTTACTACCATTAGATGATCTAGTATTGTGGAGATCAGACATTAACAAGCATGTAAGTCTGACTATAGGCACAGTTTGAGAAGGGCTGAGCAGGAGGGATCAGAAAGTGAAATTGATGGAGAGTCTGTGGTTCAGAATAAGGTTAGAATTACGGAGGGATATTGTCCCTGCTGACAAAATAACTATCCAGCAGCCTGCCTTCCTTCTTTCCACGCTGTCTGTGTCACAGTCTACCAATGCTGCAATTGTGCCAATGCAACTGTTTGTGGGACCAGAGCGTGAACTTAATCAATGGAATACAGAACTTTTAAAATCTGGCTTGAGTGATCTGATTTACAGCATGGCTTCGCAAACGGTTGCATGAACAGCTGAGGGCACTAAAAGTCACAATCATTAGTTGCCAGTTCCTGCTCCTGTCTAAATTTATGGTTCCATATTCATTAAACCCAGATTTGTGCACTGCTGACTAGCCAGCAGCAAGATTTGAGCCAGCTCACGTGGAGATACGCAATTGCATTTCAGATGCTCACTGGTGAATCAACACGAGCACCTGGTCTAACCCTTCTAACACTGTATGTCATGAGTGAGTCCAGCTTGTCACTTGGCTGCCATATGTACCATGGGATGCCAGCCCTGTTACACTGTGGAGTTGTTTAAGAACGCTTCTCTGGGCAGGGAGGAGGAAGGTGCTGTGGGGGCCTCCCCCGTTATCAGCACTGCTACAATAAATCCCTCAACTGCTGCCATATGCAAAGAGCTAGAGCAGGATTCATGTATGGTTTGCAATCCTGCTACAGCTCCCAGTGTAGGATGAGTTAGGAATTTCAAATTCCCAGGCCTTGGTGAGACTGGAGAGTGGTATGCAATAATACATTTAACCAGCAGAGGTGAATTCAGAGACTGTGGCTACTTCTCAAGGCGGGAACAGAGTCTGGCCTTAACCAGTGCACTCTCCTTTGGAGAATTACTTCACATCAAGCTCTCTCATTTTCCTGAGGTAGAACCACCCCCTCAAGCTTCACGCAAAATTCCACTCATGATCTGTTGCAGCCCATGTCCTTTGAATCCAAGTCCTCTTTTTCTGTTATTTTAGGCACAGCTTTCATGCTAGAAAGCATCCTGTTTGTGTCTAGTACTATGCATAATTAATACAGGTAGAACAAGTTTTAATGCAAAGTATATTTCAGCTCATAAGCATTAGAGAATTGGTGGACCTCCACAATTTTTAATGCATTTGGTTTTCCTCAGTGGGACATTCTGGTGTTCTTCACTCAATGACTCACCAGTGGCCCTATCAGTGTTACACAATGGAAACAAGCACTGACTTCCAAAACCAGTAATATTTGATGCTAGGAGTAGATTAAGCTCATTTAGAAGTCTTTAGAAAAAACAATAACCTCAAAACATGTCAAGAATTGGTATTTGAAATAAGCTGCAAATAAAATTCAGGATATGATTTAAAAGTTCATCTGGAAAAAAACCCATGCAAAATTCTTAGAAGAGAGGCATCTTTAACTTTGGGGTTTTTGACTGTTTTAAGGCAACAAGCTTCCTATCCATTCCTAAAAGATGTTTGATTTGCTAAGCTTCAGCTTTGATGCTCCACAAAGCAATATGAAATACTTGCACGTAAAATTTTTTGGACTACCTGAAAGGTGCAAGCACTTTTGAAATCATTAAGACAACCAGCAAACAGGATTTTCTATAAATGTATTTTTCCAGCTGAGACAAATATCATATGTGTCACAGCATAAACATTTTAAGAAACAATACATGGCTAAAACCCGCCTGCCAGACAGAGGAAGTCAAAGAGTTTGCCTTAGGGGTTTAAGAATACCAGATTATTCAAGTACTGATAAATTACAAAAAAATAAGAAAAAAAAGACATGATGATGGACTAAGACCTTCCTGCCTGGAAACTATTAGGCAATGCTTCTTAAAAAATAAAAATGATTTGATCATCTAGATTTGAAACAAAAGTATTCTCTAACACAATGGCTGAGTATCAGTGACAGGGATTCTGACTATCAACAAGATACTGTCTTAGAAAATTTAATGCTTGCACCATTTTTCTAAAAATGTGAGCATCTAAGTAGTAAAATCAACCAAATAATCTGAGTTTACAAAATGTTGCACAACATCTGTATTCTTTAAGATGTATCTATGTTCTTTGATAGATATCTATATTCTTTAAGATAGATATATCTTCTTTAAGAATGTATTCTTAAGACCGTACAGATGTTCGTGTCTTTAAGATTAACTGTTCTCCTTAAGGGTAACTATAAAATCCTTCTTACCAAATCTAACAGAAGTCACAATAAGACAGACTTGCAAATTAGTGATGTCTTGACTGAATGCGTGAAATGGGAACACCTGCATGCAGGATGACTACCCCCTTCAATAAGATTTTAAAGATTCTTTCTTCCTTCCAACAGTAAACTGCATTATTCCATCTCCCTGTGCCTGATACTGACATCTAGTCTGGTGGCACAACAGCAGTTACTTTATTTCTTTCTGCATTGGGAAAATTCAGAATTGAATTTTCTTTGAATACAATGTTACTATCTACTTTCCAATTACTAGCCATGTAAGGAACATCATTATAGCTCATGCTTTTGATTAGAAAGAAAAGTTTTATTAAATCTATCATCATAAAATGGAATTCTACATCCTGAAACATTTACATTAGTGAAAGAGGAAACTTACCAAAGTAAGATTAAGCTTATTTCTTTCTACAAGTAAACTGAAGATGAATAATGAAGATGTTTTTTCAGAATTTCCATTAACCGATAAAGAGCAATCCAGAAAAAAGGGAATCCACTCTTCTTGAAGAAAGGATGAGATAACCAACAGGGCTTTCCTACTCCTGAATTCTTTGACTATTAAAAAAAAAAGGGGGGGGGGGGGGGGGTAAAGAGGAATTTTCATTTTCATTCACTTCTGCTTGGAATCTGGTTCAAATTGCAATCCATAGAAATGGCTTAATATTTAATGAGACTTTTAGACCACAAAAATATGATGTAAGGGATTCAGTTGTCTTCACTGACTCTCTGTGTAGGGACAAATGTCGCAACACATGTGGTCCTGACCCCTTAAAATGAAAAATGACATGCTAAATTACTACCTAGTGGAAACTGAATTAAAACAGATACTAAACTATCCAAAGAGAAAAAAAAAAAGACAAAGTGTATTACCTGAAAATTCAGCAAATAACCATATTTATCATTAAGGAAACAACCCTGCTTTTTGGAGAAAGCCCAATTTTCCTCTAAAAATAATTTCAACAGACCAGCTATTAGACTATTGTTTACACGAATGACAGACTAGGAAGTTCTTCCAACACAGAAGGTTAGACTTGTGGATATAAAACTGGCAAAACATGCTTGTGGTACAAATAGACCTATGACTACAGAAGGGACTGCAAGAAAGAAAAAAAAAAAAATATCAAGCAATCTTTAGAAAACTGTTGATTGAAACCCTTATTAATATGGAGAGAAAAATAAAATTCATATGTATTTCAAAACAAAAGAATGATCAAAGTTCCAGAAAACAAAGTAGATGTGAGAGAATTACTCACATGAGTAGGAAATAGTTTACTGGAGTCTATCCTAACATTTGCTGAGATTGTAATCTGTCTTGTCACCTGGCATCTTTGTTGGTAAGGAACTACCCAGTATTTAATGATAGTGGCACCGTTACTGTTGAATTACCAAAAACTATAGAGTAGTTCTGCTATGGTAGAACTACTATAGCTACGATGTAGAACTATGATTGTAATTCTTTAGCTGATTTTGTACATTTTCAAAAAATCTATTCCTGACCTAGTCAGGTTTATAACCAGACATGAGACTTATTTTATACACAGGAAAATGAGACAAGGTAAAAGGTTTGATCTTAAAAGTTTCTATCACACATCTCACCTGAAGATTAAACAGCTTTGTCCAGTAAGCCCCTTGTACGCAGAACTAACAGTTTTATGCCTAGAACACTTGTAGGATCAGGGCCATGCAAAAGTACGTCTATTTATAATATACACAATATATATGAAAATTTCAAGTTTTAAGGAATATCCGCCATCATTTCAGAGACAGCCTTGAAGAAGACACTATAATTTCAATACTCCTTTGTACTATGTATCATTAATAAGTCATCCTACTAAAATTGGACTGGAAAGAACAGATTTTCCTTGAGAGGGTATTGAATGACATATGTTTCAACGTTACAACAGAGTAAGCTACATATTCAATAATACAAAATACTGAAAATTTAACTGTTTGCTCAAGTTAATAATGAAGTTATAATAAAGAACGTTTTGCTTATCTCTCAAGTTTGGAATTGTCTGATTCCACCATGAAGTTTATATAAAATATCCCAACTGATCACTTACAACTAGGACAGACTTTTTTCCGTATCTTGCCTGCATCACAAAATCATTTTTATCTTTGTTATTATTTTGGAGAATTTTAAAACCTAGTATTGCTTCCATGAAGTCAACAGGAATTTTGCACTGAATTGGTAGTAGGACGACCGTTCTCCATGGCTCACTTGTCTCTGCTATTAGAATTAGTGATTGGGCTATCTTTTATTTTGCACTAAAATTTTCCTTATAGCAAAAGTATATTAAGTTATATTGAAATATAGGAAAGAAGGAAGGAAAAAAATGATACTGACAAAAAAAAGCAACAAAAGAAAGGAATATATTTTATAGAAAGGTATAAAACAACATAGATGAAAGCAAACAATCTGTGATCAGTTATAAAATTAGAATTTTTCTCATGAACCAGATTCCCCTCTAATGCAAATTAACAGTTTGCTCAGTGTGCAAAAATATTCAAAGCCCACTGTCAGTTCATCTGCATTCAGACTTATTTTAAAACCATTCTGTAATTGCACTTTACAGACACACATTTCAAAATAAATCTCTTACCAAGGTAATGCTTCTGTTTTAGGTAATCATATCTTTTTTATACACTAACTTACTAAACTTATAACAATGTTTAATTTAAAATATGAACTACAGAGGAGTATTTTAAAGGTTTGTGATGTTTATGATTTCTAGATGAGGTAAAACGCTTTATTGCTGGAGCAGCTGTCAGAGCCAAACCTCAGCTCTCAGCAAAATGGGCTGTAATAACCACCTATTAGCAGCGGTGTCAAGAGGTGAGCGCTCCCGACACAGCTTCCTAGATGGTGCTCTGTCCCATGCCAGCCTACAAGAGGAAAATGAAAAAACCGATATTTTCCTGTTGGCTGACCCTTTCCTCCCACAGCTTCCTATCTGAGTAAAATTTTGACACCAAAGGTTTTAAAAAAATAAAGAGGGGTGGTGCCAAGGAAGGAAGGAAGGAAGGAAGAGTGGTCTGTGCCAGCACACTTCTGCTTACCTTTACAGACTTCGGAGGCTGCTGATATCCCGACTCCTGTGGTATCTCACTGAAGATCTTTACCGAGGACTTAACAGATCCCACAGATACTTTGAATCCTAGGGCAGCAAGTAGGCAAATCCTTTCTGTTACCTACACAGACAACACGCACCAACACAAAACCCTGCACCACGTATATGGGGAACGGTCCCATTTATACGCAAGGCTCTTCATGACCCCTGTGGCAGGGGAAGCACCCAGCACCCCTCCAGCACCGGACCAGACCCATGAACAAAGAGCAAGCAAGAATCAGCAGAAAACAGGCAGAAACATCATATGTCTCAGGCTCCTTTTCAGATACTTCAACCCACCTCGTCCCCCTTCACGATGCGGCTTCAGGCCAGCTCGGCCCTCGCCTTACTGTCACCTCCCGCTCTTTTCCCTCCCTTTAGACCCCTCCGAAAGAGTCAGCGGCTACCGCAGACCCCAAGAGACAACCCCAACCAACATGAAACCCAAATGACTCGACGACTCCCCTCAGCCCCCCCCGCCATCGCCCTCAGGCTGCTCCCCAGCGGGTGTCCCGCAGGCCAGGCTCCTCCCGCTCCCCGACCGCCGCCCTCGCCCCCTTCCCGCCGTGCCCACCCTAGCGGTACCCGAC